TTTTTCATGCATTTTCCTAGCATTATTCTGCAGAAATTATCTGGGAAGAGGGACCTTTTTATGCAGTTTGACACATGAAAAAAGGACTGCAACAAAATTCAAAAATATAAACTGTTCGCAGAACATAATCCTACTGGAGATTTACAGAATACTTTATGTAAGACCTATTTCAAAAACCATTTGCAGCACTGTGTGACCAATAGTTGGCGCTGAGGAGCATATGAAATTCCTATGCTCCTCGGCTCCATCTGGTGGCAATACAAGCACTGTGAATCTCGTTCTCACAGCGAAGAGCTGTAACATTGGTTTCTAAATCAGCCCCATACCGTTTTTTTTAGGGTCTGTAAGCTCAAAAAGTTCCTGAGATGAAAGTAATTTCAATCATGCAGAATTTCTGTGTACCTTTCAATGTAACTCCATGCAGCTTTGAGTTATACAAAACAGATGAAATCTGGTATCCATTGCTTCCCTAGAGATTTGAATATCTGCTTCAGCCACTAGAAGTTTCTGTGTGCATGGCAAAAACATCTGCAGCATTGGTAGAAAACAGAAACATCCCAGACATGCCAGGTTGCTGGAATTCAAATAACGTCCTTCCTTCAACAATGGCTAACATGACACAGCTGGACATACCTCCCAATTGTCCTGCAATTGGAAGGACCGTCCCTCATTTGGAACCAAATCCCTCTGCCCCTCTTTTCTCCTCAGTTGTCCCTCTTATTGGTCTGATGTACAGATATCTATGAAAAGGCTGAGACCCTCCACAGCCCACCATAGACCCTGCACAGCCCACCATAGACCCTGCACAGCCCACCATAGATCCTGCACAGCCCACCATAGACCCTGCACACCCCAGCTGAGACCCCGCACAACCCTTCTGAGACTCTGCACAGCCTCGTAAGACCTCCTGAGACCCCGCACAACCTCCTATGACCTCGCACAGCCTCCTGAGACTCTACACAGCCTCCTGAGACCCTGAACAGCCTCCTGAGACCCTGAACAGCCTCCTGAGACCCCGCACAGCCACCTGAGACCACGCACAGCATCATGAACAGCACCCCAGAGCAGCACAGAGTATGTTGCTTCATATTTTTCTGCATTGATATATAATGTATTGCTGGGATTTGTAGTTCTCTATAGCCGGTGCCATTCGACATTGTTGTATAATGTATCGCTGGGATTTGTAGTCCTCTGTAGATGTTATTATTCTGCATTGCTGTATAATGTATTGCTGGGAATTGTAGTCTTTTATAACTGATGGTAATATTCTGTATTGCTGTATAATATATGGCTGGGATTTGTAGTCCTCTATTGCTGCTGGTATTATTCTGCATTGCTGTACAATTTATCGCTGGAAATTGTAGTCCTGTATAGCTGGTGGTATTCTGCATTGCTGTATAATGTATTGCTAAGATTTGTAGTCCCTCTACTGCCAGAAACAAAAGCAACTTGTGGAGCAGCTGGTGGTTTCACAGTATCACACAATGATGGGGTTGGATCTGGCTCATTCTCATGTTTTGAGTGGTCATTTAAGGGTAAAAAAAACCAAAAGAACGCATTGAGCACTGGCTTATTGGCCCAGCATTTACAACGCAGTTGAGGAGTAATGTTAATCTTGCCCTGCATGTCAAAATAATGCACCCAAACCATATTTTCATGTCGATAGCCTTGCATATAATTTAGGTCCTTTTTTAGAGGGTTGCTGTGAATCTGGTCAGGCCACTGGCCAAGGGGCACCAGTATTCCTTAGGAAATTTTGACAGATCAAGGAGCCCATTTAATGTCAAAAGACACAAAAGAGCTGTGCCAGTTTTTGAAAATTACTCCCCTTGCACCTCAATGTGCCCTCCCCGAACTCATGGGCTGTTAGAACAGCTCAATAGAACCTTAAGAGGTAGTTGATAAAGATGGAAAAGACTGGAACTTCCTATTCCCTTACTGAGAACATTAATCAGGGTAAGTGCCACAGTCATCCACAGGGTTTTCTCCATTTTAATTTTTGTATTGTATAATGTATGTCTCCAGGGACTCCTGGATATAGTCTGGGAAACATGGGCGCAAGAGACCACACCTTACAAAAGTATAAACTAACAAATTGCCCAGATGTATGATAGGATAGCAGCAGTCATTCCCATAGTTTGGCAACATAGGAAGCAAATCCAAGAGGTAGACAGATCTGGTGCCTACTTTAGAGAGTAAAGTTGTATGGCCCCTATAAGATCAGAGAGAAAATCTTTGATGTATACAAGCTCAGAAAGGTAATGTCCCTTCAAATATACCATGTTACCTAATAAAACCCTGTAAGGATGGTGATGCTCTCTCAGCAGAAAGCAACCCTAAAGTATCACCAGTGAAAGAAATACCAGAAGTCAGAGACCATCTGCTTCTCAGTTTCAAGAGGTGAGAGAATTCTTGCAGAAAAATTGAGAGGTGTTTTCAGAATGACATGGCCAACAAGTGGAAAATACACCATCACACCGCGAATGTTTAGTTTACTATGGTTGCACAGGCGGTGGAAATGTTAATATACCAAGATGTGGAAGGATGATACCAGCGATGTTTTGTACCACATTATATATGTTACCAATTCAGTGGGTATGTTGACCCACGTGTGCTACGGACTATACCTGTTAAACAGAATGTGTATCTATGAGTAGCAGGCCCGCTGTTGGATCCCTGCGTGACTCAGGAATGTGATATCTCTTGCACTACGTTTTGGGCGGTACGCCGCTCCGTCTTTATGTGTATACATTTTGTGCTGTTTATCAATAAAGAAATTAAAAAAAAAAAGAATTACATGGCCACAGTAAAGTAATTTACCATGACATTCTGACTAAGTTTCATGTCAAAGTAAAGGTAAACCCTTATTTTTACCCGATGATCTTCCCTGTAACACACTTCCTACTCTAGGGTTACAATGCCCTCTCATTCTACTATTTTCATGGAAGAGAAAAGAGCATGTGTTGTGACTACAGAACACATCCCCTTCTCCGCAACACAAGGTGCAGGTGTTCTACACTCCAAAGAAGAGCCTCAGGAAAGCTGATAACATTATTTCAGTTCAGTCCACAGGAGTAAAATAAAGTTCAAGCTATTAACCCACAGTGAAAAAACAGTTAACAAGACGATACACAGTCTAAAATATAATACCGTAGTGTTAATAAAATATGTAGCACTCAGAATATGACATTGAATCCTCCCAATAGGACACAATAGTTAAGTCCTTAAAGGAGAACTATGGGGTCAGTGTTTTTCCCCATAGTTCTCCTTGGGGTAACGGGAGGACACAAACTAGCGTCCTCCCGTCACCCTAAGCTCAGTATACCGCGAGCTACAGCTCGCGGTATACTGAGACGCCGCACCTGGAGCGGATCCCGACTTAGATGACAGGATCCGCCCAGCTGCGTGAGTGACAGCTGGCTCTGCCTATCTAGAGGCAGAGCCAGCTGTACCCGCCCCCTCCCCCGTCCGTTCCGCCAGTCAGCGCTGGCAGATCGGAGCGGGGAGAGGGGAATCCAGGCCCCCCCCCTGTCACGGCAGAGAGCCGTGACAGGATCGAGAGGTGAGGGAACCCGGTATGTTTTCCCTCACCTCCCGATCTACTGAGCCGACATGTGACAGTCTCATTGCCACAGGTCGGCTTAGAACTATGACGTGAGTGGAAATCACTCATGTCATAGTTCTCCTTTAAATCTTCCACATTGTTAATGAGTAAAATAGCAGCACATCTTCTTTGTAAAACTTACACAGACAATGTCTAAAGATGGGTATACACTGGTAGATTTTCATATGAGAATTCCTATAAAACATTTCTTCAGAACATTCGATAATGCCATCAGGTACTTGGTGAATTCCTTCTACATTTCACTTGATTTTAACATTCGTTCTTTAAACAAATGAGGTTTTGAAGTTTAAGAAAAAATTTCCATTCTTTTTTTATTTATTTTTTCACCACTAAGGTCAAAAACAAACGTTCTAAAACCGACGTTCTGCTGGTGTAAGGCGAGCATTAATGAACACTCACGAGATTCCCTCACCTCGCAGCACATTAGAAGTCAGTACAGCGCTTGTGTTAATCACCACTCCTGGGGTTAAACAGAACCAAATCCTACACCACTGTACCTGCAGGCTGAATGAATGTGAAACAAAGAAAATATTAGAGTATATGGCCAGCTTTAGGGTGGCTTCATAGAACAAGATACTCCTCTACTAAACTAATGTGAAGCAGTCGTACAACAGCAACTGAAGCTGGTGTTCTGGTAGAATCCTGGAATCGCCTGTGAATTTTCTTGACCCACGGGCTTCACCACACATGTGCAATAGAGGCAAGTAGCCTGTGAAAATTCTGGACCAGATCAGCTGTTCTGCGCTTGCAAGTTCAGCTGACACCACCAGCAACTGTTGAGAGCAACCGCATCACTGGAAGTGACACGGTCAAGTTTTCAAATGCAGTCCAGCAATCTGTCAGAGCACTGGCAATAAAATGGTAGAATTTTTTTTCTTTCCTGAAACATTTATTTTCAAATAGTTAATGGCACCAAATTGTCAATCTTTTTTGATCACCTTGATGAAAAAAAATTAAATCGAACCAATACAATTCTAACAGTGAATGCTGTTTTAGGGGAACTCCATTCACTACACAATCAAATAATAAAATGAAATTAAATTTGGAACATGGCATTCTCAAAAGTTCTAGCAATGTTTTTTAGTCTGAACGTTCGTAGGAAAACGAGCTTTAGAATTCATTTACAATCCCATACTAAAAACAACTACAAGCCTGTAAAACCCCCCCCAATAACCTAGTCTATTTATTATCCCGGTTTAAGGAAAGGTTATGTAGTCTGATAAAACAATTCAGCACGTATACATCAATGCTAAAAAAAAAGTATAATACATTTTTTTCTCTGGTCTTAGGAGTCATATACAAGGATGGGCGGGGTTAGCGTTGCCATCCTTATTCAGTTGTCATGTCCCTTCCATCGTCCCGTAGCTCCACGTTGGCCGCACATGCGCAGTACGTAGGCCCGTTAGCTCACGGTGAGTGCCTGTGACCACTTGACACTAGGAAGCGGAAGAAATCGAGACCCGGTGCAAAAAGTATTGTGTACATTCATTCCTATGTAAAGTCTTATATTTATAGGGATATGACATAGGTGACAGGTCTGTTTTTATGTATGTGTGGCTATGTGGCGAAGAGCTGTCTCACCTGTATAATCCCATTTCCGGTTAGGTGATTCTAATACGGGCTGATATAACCTGTCCAGTCGTACTAGTAGCCGAACTCACACCGTGTATTCTCTTATAGCTCCTCTTGATCGAAGGCTCTCTCACCCATTGGAAAGCTGCTGCACCTCCCCCGTGACAACATGTTTAAGAAGCTGAAGCAGAAGATCACTGAGGAGCAATCCCCTGTAAGGAGCTCAGTGAGTCCACAGCCACAGGTAGGACAGGGACCACTCACTATTTTCTGCAGTGACACGATCATTGCATGCTGTCAGACTGCAAGACTAATGACGTGCTGCTAGTATCTAATGTGCTGGAAAGTTTTTCTGGGTACTGATATAAATAAATGAAAATAAACATTGATGTGTGGAGGTTGCTGTGACCCCAGTTTACCCAAGCCCCTGCAAAATTTTGATTGACACCTCCCATCCCAGTCAGTTGAGACAGGGGTATTCCCCGCCCCTTTTATAGCAACGGATTGGGCCTGGAGGGGGTGTGTCAGAGACAGTTCTATGTGAGCCGTGTTCACACCAAGCCCCTGCACATCATTTAGGCCCCATTCACACATGAATCGGCCTGCACGTACAGATCCGTGCTTCGTGTGGGGCCGTACCAAGTAGCTGCCGAGAAGGACAGGTGCTGCGTGTGATTAGAACGCAGCCCCCGTCCTTCTCTATGGGGCTACACGGCCGTACGCCCCCCTACGCTCACCTCATTTGCAGGTCTGTAGGGATGCGGGTTTTCTGTCCGGGACGCATACATGTTCCATTCCGGCGGCGTATGGATACGATCACCCGCACCCCTACGGACCTGCAAATGAGGTGAGCGTAGGGGGGCGTACGGCCGCGTAGCCCCATAGAGAAGGACCGGGGCTGTGTTCTAATCACACGCAGCACCTGTCCTTCCCGGCAGCTACTTGGTACGGCCCCGCACGCAGCACGGAGCTGTACGCGCAGGCCGATTCGTGTGTGAATGAGGCCTAAAGGTGGCCATACACCTTACAACCATCGCACGACTTTCATTGTGCGATGGTTGTAAGGTGATAAAAATTTAGTACGACCTGCCCATCATGAACAGGCAGATCGTACTTGCGATCATCGCAAGTCCCCCTGCTGAGGCGAGGGCTTGCAGATGATTGCAATGGTGAGCGGGCAGTGTGCGCTTACGCACCTCGGGTCGTGCAGCTTTCGTCTTGCGATCGCGCTACCAACCCGCCGAAAATTGTACGATTTTCGGCAGGTTTTCTAGCATGCTCGTTATACGAAAATCGTACGACCGTACAGTAAATGCGGTCGCATGCTGCCCATTAACGTACGATTATTGTACGATCACCTGCGATCATCGTACAATAATAGTCAGGTGGAACTTTACCCACATCTTTAAAATAACAACAAAGACACCTTTAGAAATGTTTAGTAATGACAATCTACAAACGCATACTTCTTGATAATTGCAGGTTTTGTATTTGCATACCTTCTCTTTTCTTCCCCAGTCTTCTGACAGTTGCCATGTTTACTAAGGGCAGATTACTAGCTCTCCTATTACTTCCTGGATTTCTGGCACATGTGACCAGAACATGTGACTATGCACATCATCTCAGGGGAGGAAAATGCCTTTCCCTGAGATTCCAGATGAGATTTCCCAGCAATGCTCTGCTGACGGCAAGGCAAACCTGAAGTAATTTGCCTTTTCAAAGCAGAAAGTGAATGCTCAGCAAATGTAATTATTTCAGAATCACAGCATTTTGCACCTGACATGTCTGTTATTATTAATCATCATACGTGGAGGGATGCATAGGTAGAATTTAATGTTTGAGTGTAAAGGTCCGCTTTAAGCAGGGCTCATGCAATACCTGCTTTAGATACTTTAACCATTTTGCTGTCAGAGTGCTTTTTTGCACACATGTCATAATCCACATTTTAGGAAAATTATTCACAACCTCCCCTCCCCCACTCTATTTACTGAGAGCAGGGACCTTGTAGATTAATATGGTGGCAGTTCCATTTTTTTTTAACGCATAATATTAGCGCCACACTTTACCATCACAGCCAGCTCCCATAAGGCATATGGCGCTGACAGCAAAAGGGGTTAAAGTTGAACTCCGAGATAAGCAAATATTGTCTAAATACAAGAGGCAGGTGCATTCTTATTTGAATCTTGGTGTGCTCCGTGTATTTCTTCCAAATCTGTGCAGTAATTCAGTGTGAAACCTTGCCTCTGTGCAGGCGCTTCCTGTAATAAAAATGGTAGACACCTTGGTGCTAGGGATGCACCGATACCGGGCAGTACCTGTGAAAATGCCCTAACACTAAAGGCTGATACCTGCCCTTTACATTTTTGAACAGGAGCAGCTGCCATAAGGTCCTAACTTGCTGGGGACCTCACCAGGCTGCTTGCGACCTCACAGCAGCTGTCCTTTACAGCGCTGGTCTGACCATATATATCGTCACCTCCTCCTTTCCACAGCCCGCAGAGCCCTACTGAGACCCCAATGCAGCCATAGGAGGTGCCGCACACAGATATGGGGGGACGCCCTGATTAGACTCGAATGCAGCCTCCTGAGACCCCATTACAGCCCTGGAGAGCAACACAGAATATGTAGCTTCATATTCTGTATTGCTGGGATTTGTCCCCCTACAGCTTGGAGTCAGTGGCAGAACTACCAGGGTCACAGGCGCTCCACCACTGTCCTAAATCATTAGTCTGTATTGTTTTAGAAAACTGTTGCGTAACCCTAAAAATAAAGGAATTGGTATCAGTGTAAAGCCTCGCTTCTCTTATCTATGGGAATGGATCGCAACTGCGGAGTTTCGTGGATGGGGATCAGTTGTGCAGCTGAACTCTGTTGCCCTGTATTTGGTTAGGCAGATCGAGGGCTGCTTAACATCATACTCCCCTTGGCAACAATGGAAGTGCCACTCCTCTGGTAGTTAGAGAGCAGGGTATGAAGTTCAGCACAACAACAATAGCACACAGGGTTAATGGCTGTGAGCAACAGCAAGGAGTTTAGCTAGCAGGTGTATGAAGTTCAGCACAACAGCAATATCACACAGAGTTAATGGCTGTGAGCAATAGCAAGGAGTTTAGCTAGCAGGTGTATGAAGTTCAGCACAACAGCACTATAGTAGTGTACTGGTAGCCAGGAGGCATAAGCCTCTACTTGCGGTTTGTTTGGTGGTCAATGGTAGAGCCCTGAGACTCTTGGATCCGATGACCTGCTTGTGGCTGATGATTCCTAAGGGCAGCAAGGCAGACACTGATTGATCAGTGTCCTGCTACAATCAACAGTAGGACACCGATCAATCAGTGAGCAGCAGCTTTAAGCCAACTGCTCGAATGAGGTGGGCGGAGTCCCAGGGAGTGCCTGCGCACTACTGAGTCCCTGCTAGGAGGTGAGGGGCTACCACGGCGCGCCTGCGCAGGACGGCGTTGGAGCCCGATAGTGGACCGTAACCCGGTACGTCTATTACAATCAGGAAGTACTTGTGGAAAAGTATCGGTACTTGGTCTTGAAAAAATTGGTATCTGTGCATCCACCTTCACTCAAAAGCACATTACAGCTTACCAGACTGTATGACCTCATTAGAAAAGGCCATACAACACTCAATAGAGGGTATCCAGCGAAGTGTTCCCAGGAATCGCTCGCATTGAAACAGCCTGCACCACTTCATACTTCCAACTCAGTTGATGGGCAACCATACTTTCTCCTGGGGTGTAACATAAGTTACACCCCAGGAGAAAGCAAAAAAAACAAACTCAAATTGTCCAGATCATATAAATTCCATTTTAAGTGGAACAGCTTGCATACACTTAAACAGTATGTAACAGCATCAGACATCACTCTTCCCACCTGTGGACTGCAAGATTTGGAGTGTTTTCTCTTGCGGCCTCCCAAGGTGTAACCTGCCACAAGTGGTTATAATTTTTTGACTGGAGTTTGCATTGGTGCAGGCCGTTTCATTGCGGGTGGTTCCTGTGGAGAGATCTATGGATGCCCTCTATTGATTACAAAGAGAACAGCTGCTTGGTGTGAACCCAGTTCACCCAAGCCTGAGCAAAACTATAACTGATACACCACCCTGTCAGCCCAATCAGTTGAAGCAGAAACATTCCCTACCTCATTGTGTTTAGCTGCAGGGCAGGGCTTGTCTGTGCCACAACTGATTGGGCTGGGAGGGTGCTGTGTCCGATGCAGTTTTGCACTGGGTTAGCACCAAGCCCCCCTTTCATCACTAGTCATACAGTTTGGTAAGCTTCACTGTGTACTTCTGTGTGGAGGTGGGCGTACTATAGACTTTAGGAATTTGATTTACTTATAAGATTGTTTTATCTTATAAATAAGTGGCATTTGTACTGGATCTGTCACTTCAAAAGGTTTTTACATAGCTGCATCATATTTGCAAGCGAGTTATGATGGTTGTTTTTTCCAAGAAGAACTTGAATTTAAAAATTGCCGCTGTTTGTTTTGATCGTAGCCTGCATGTGTTATAATAGCAGATTTTAACGTGAAGTGAGTTAAACGACAACTACAGTTTTTGTACAAAAGCCCCTGGTCCCCTTTGCTAATCTAACTTCTCGTTCACACCATCTGCGGATACTGGCGTTTTTTAGCAACTGATCAACACCTTTCACCACAAGGGCACATTGAAAACAACTGTTTACTATGTACCCTGTTAAAACCACAATGATGTGTTGAGGTAGGTTGCAGAGCAAAATAATGTGGACATGCTACATTTCTCCGTACCTCAACTAATGTCAGCTTAGCTGCAATAATGACCAATTATTGAAATGTCAAATTCCAATAAAGTGTAAACAAAAAAATGAGGTACACAGGGCCTTGCATTGTAGCACACAGCGAACACCAGCCTGTACGCTAAAATGGACTGTTATAGCAGTCTGGTGTGAACAAGCCCTAACGTAGAAAACCTTCACCCTGGTGCATACTCTCTTCTCCATGACGGTGTTCCACAATGCATTCAATGTTTGTCCCTAATCCCCACAGACATGAATGGAGCCATACTCCTAGAATCCCTACTGTAGAAGTTTGGCTCCATTCAGTCTTGCCTTCTGTTTCCTGTTTGGGAAATTTTCCTTCACTTCGTGTACTGTAGATACACTAAAGTGAGAGGAAATCTCTCTAAAGTGGGATAACTCCTATCATACAGTTGTCACCCAAACAAGTCTCCTCATTAAAGATTTCCCCTCTATACATGTTTTG